GATCTTCCCGGACCAGGGATCAAACCCATGTGCCCAGCATCGGCAGGCAGATTCTTTTTGTTTTGTTTTGTTTGTTTTCTTAATTTTTTTATTGAAGTATAGTTTATTTACAATGTTAGTTTCTGCTATACAGCAAAGTGATTCAGTTACACACACACACACACACACACACACACATACATTCTTTTTTTATATATTCTTTTCCGTTATAGTTTATCATAGGATTTTTTTTAACATCTTTATTGGAATGTAATTGCTTTACAATGGTGTGTTAGTTTCTGCTTTATAAAAAAGTGAATCAGCTATACATATACATATATCCCCATATCTCTTCCCTCTTGCATCTCCCTCCCTCCCACCCTCCCTATCCCACCCCTCTAGGTGGTCACAAAGCACTGAGCTGATCTCCCTGTGCTATGCAGCTGCTTTCCAGTAGCTATCGGTTTTACATTTGGTAGTCCATATATGTCCATCCCAGTCTCTCACTTTGTCCCAGCTTACCCTTCCCCCTCCCCATGTGGTCAACTCCATTCTCTAGTAGGTCTGCATCTTTATCCCCTTCCTGCCCCTAGGTTCTTCATAACCTTTTTTTTTTAAATTCCATTTATATGCATTAGTATATGGTGTTTGTTTTTCTCTTTCTGACTTACTTCACTCTGTATGACAGACTCTAGGTCCATCCACCTCACTACAAATAACTCAATTTCGTTTCTTTTTATGGCTGAGTAATATTCCATTGTGTATATGTGCCACATCTTTATCTATTCATCTGTCATTGGACACTTAGGTTGCTTCCATGTCCTCGCTATTGTAAGTAGAGCTGCAATGAACATTGTGGTACATGACTCTTTTTGAATTATGGTTTTCTCAGGGTATAGGCCCAGTAGTGGGATTGCTGGGTCGTATGGTAGTTCTATTTGTAGTTTTTAAGGAACCTCCATACTGTTCTCCATAGTGGCTCTATCAATTTACATTCCCACCAACAGTGCAAGAGGGTTCCCTTTTCTCCATACGCTCTCCAGCATTTATTGTTTGTAGATTTTTTGATGATGGCCATTCTGACTGGTGTAAGATGATATCTCATTGCAGTTTTGATCTGCATTTCTCTAATGATTAATGATGTTGAGCATTCTTTCATGTGTTTGTTGGCAGTCTCTTTATCTTCTTTGGAGAAATGTCTATTTAGGTCTTCTGGCCATTTTTGGATTGGGTTGTTTGTTTTTTGTTATTGAGCTGCATGAGCTGCTTATAAATTTTGGAGATTAATCCTTTGTCAGTTGCTTTATTTGCAAATATTTTCTCCCATTCTGAGGGTTGTCTTTTCATCTTGTTTATGGTTTCCTTTGCTGTGCAAAAGCTTTTAAGTTTCATTAGGTCCCATTTGTTTATTTTTGTTTTTATTCCCATTTCTCTAGGAGGTGGGTCAAAAAGGATCTTGCTGGTATTTATGTCATAGAGTGTTCTGCCTATGTTTTCCTCTAAGAATTTGATAGTGTCTGGCCTTACATTTAGGTCTTTAATCCATTTTGACTTTATTTTTACGTATGGTGTTTGGGAGTGTTCTAATTTCATTCTTTTACATGTAGCTGTCCAGTGTTCCCAGCACCACTTATTGAAGAGACTGTCCTTTCTCCATTGTATATTCTTGCCTCCTTTGTCAAAGATAAGGTGACCATATGTGTGTGGCTTTATCTCTGGGCTTTCTATCCCGTTCCATTGATCTATATTTCTGTTTTTGTGCCAGAACAATACTGTCTTGATGACTGTAGCTTTGTAGAATAGTCTGAAGTCTGGGAGCCTGATTCTTCCAGCTCCATTTTTCTTTCTCAAGACTGCTTTGGCTATTCGGGGTCTTTTGTGTCTCCATACAAATTTTAAGATTTTTTGTTCTAGTTCTGTAAAAAAATGCCATTGGTAATTTGATAGGGATTGCATTGAATCTGTAGATTGCTTTGGGTAGTAGAGTAATTTTCACAATGTTGATTCTTCCAGTCCAAGAACATAGTATATCTCTCCATCTGTTTGTATCATCTTTAATTTCTTTCATCAGTGTTTTATAGTTTTCTGCATACAGGTCTTTTGTCTCCTTAGGTAGGTTTATTCCTAGGTGTTTTATTCTTTTTGTTGCAATGGTAAATAATTCTTATTTAAAAAGAAAGTATTAGCTAACCTTTTTGAGCACTATCTACCAGTTACTTTTCTAAAGTATTTTACAAGGAACAACTTATTTTTCTGGCATAACTGCTCTGTGAAGTAGCTATCACTATTATTATCCTAATTTTCAGATGAGAAAATGGAGGACAGAGAGGCTAGGTAACTTGCCTAACTAATACATAAGGAAAAATATGTAATGAAGGATTTTTGGATTATTCTCAAGGGTTATGTTATCACTGGGTGAAATTTTTTGAATTCACTCAGAAGATATTTATTTAATGCCAACTATGTGCCAGGTACTGTGCTAGGAGCAAGAGACAGAGATATTAACACGATGAATACCTTCACATTGCCAAGCATCTGGATAAACAACCATTGTCCAAATCCACATGTATATTAAATAATTGTATTAATTCAATAATTTATCCCAAGTACCTATTCTCTGCCAGGTATTGTCTAGCAAGCACTGTGTCAAATATCTGGCTTTTTGACAAAAGTCTGTATTTTATTATAATGTTTCTACCTATTAAATACCCATTAGGCATCTCCTCTACAGCTGTATTGAAATGCCGTTGATATTCCCATGCCTCTGCCTATAGAGAGCTTCTGTTACGAGATTTGTAGTGATGAATAAAAGAAGTTATATACTGAGGAAAGGAAGCTGGAGGACCAGAAACACACTCTTCACTAGTTTATACTTAGTCCTCTATTGGCAGTAATGAGTTGACTTTTCCCTTGTTCTCTTCTTTCGAAGATGGCTGCATTTTAGAAAACTATTGCCTCCTTGTTTCATAAATACCTTTTTTTGTTTATACACAGATTCAATTTTACAATACATTTCTAAATATCTAGCTTGATTCTAGGAGTACGTTGACCCTCTTTTGTTATTTTAAACTGTTTTATGAAAGGTGAGGTTGTCATTGACTCTAAACAATTTCATAACTGAGAGATGTGTACAGATAACCAATGACAAATGGGACTTAATTTGAGTTGACGTTCTGGACTCTGAGAGTTCCCGTGGCCCCATTAAGAAAGTTGCCATCTTAGAAAAAGAGCAGTTATACTTTGGGACAGACACCTGAGTTCTCAGGTTTAGGTCGCGAATATTAATGGAGTAGATTAATAAGGAGTGAGAGCTCTTATCTGAGAATCAGCTTGCTGTGTCATTCACTTAATACCTGGGGTTTCCTTTAAAGCCAAGAGTAATTTACTTTTAAATCTAGTTTTATATGAAGAAAGACATTCTCTAACAAAACAAAGGCTCTAAATGAGATCATGCTAATAAAAATGTTGGTGGTCTATAATCTGTTTAAACTCCTCCATCTTTATTACAATTTACGATGTTTGCAAGTAAATAACCCTTTTGAAAATCATTAGCTATTATCCAAAAGCCTATCGTTAGGGAACTGCAAGTTCAAGTTCTCAAAAACTCTTCCAAAAAATCTCTATATCTATTATCAGGTAAAGATGGCTACTCTTTTGAATAAAGAAGACTTCAAATTTCTAGAAAAGTTAAGACAATGCCTGAGCTATGCTATGGTTGATATAGATTCTCAAATTGAGGGTATTGGAGTTCTTTGAAAAATAATTTGCTTCCACTTTTTTGGAGATTTGACTTTCTCTCTTTGGAAGAAATGTGGTTTTTTGGAAATCATAAGAGCTAAGAATCAAAGAATTGATGTTCAGATCTTCCGTGTTACGCTAACTAGTTACATGTCAAAAGACAGAAACTTAAGCAGTTTTCTCATTGGTTTTATTGCTTTTGAAATTGGGGAAGACTCTGTGCTGCCTGCCTCCTAGACTTGTAAAGATTCAGCTATCTGGGTGCAAATGTTCTTCGAAGAGATAAATGTGATACACAAATATAATGAATGCTTTTGGGGGGATTTGTGGAGGATGCATGAGTTTGTAAAATATTGGTATTCACTGGATTTCATTGCATGCTTCCCTGTACAGCATTGTTTGCAATATAATATGTGTTTATTCACTGCAGTTATATATGTGTGCTTACTAATTAGAATATGTGTTTGTCCCACTCTACCCCATGGATTGAAAGGATCATTATAAAAGAGGTCATGTTTTTATTATGCAGAGTCCTATCCCCAGCAACTGCACTGACAAGCATAGTAGGTGCTCAATAAGTAATTGTTGGATGAATGGAGCCAGACCCCCTAAGTGCACTGTGCATTTGCGGTGTACACTCTACGTTTGTACTTACTCCTTAAAACTCTCGGAAATTATGTTGTTTTGAATTTTTAGGGCATTTTTGGGGGGGTTTAGGTATGCTGCAAAATCAAATTTGGAGATCATGTCTATGAATGTTAAAAAGTTAATGACTCACTTCTTCATAATCACTTCTCTTCCGACTTGAAATCCAAATATTTTGTAATTCAGATATTTTGTATTGGCAGAGGGAGTGTTTGGTACCATTTAATGCTCTACTAATAATTTTAATGATTTTTCTCTTCTTTTGTCTTCTCTTAGAGTACAGTCCAGGGTTATGTGATAATGTGATGCTGTTTGAGAGAATGAGATTCATAATCAGATAAATCTAGGTTCAAGTCCCAACGATACCACTTCCTAGTTACAAGACTTAATATAAGCTGTTAGTTTCTCTAAGCCTTTGTTGCCTCATGTGAGCCTAATTATACTTCCCCAGTGGGATTATTTTGAGGATTAAAGATAGTAATATACTTAAGGTGCTTGGCGTGATACCTAACACATAATAACCTTTAGCTGTAGCTATTATCGTTTATACAGTTCAATTCCTAAACAGTTATTTTTTTCTATTTTGTTTGTCTTTTTTGTGTGTGTCTGTATATGTGTTTGTGTGTTTCCTTTTACAGATGGATATACAACTGATGACATTGAGTTTTACTGGCGTGGGGATGATAATGCAGTAACAGGAGTAACCAAGATTGAACTTCCACAGTTCTCTATTGTAGATTATAAACTTATCACCAAGAAGGTTGTTTTTTCCACAGGTTTGTATCAGGGCAAATAGTTAAGAGAAAAGGGGCTTTATTATATTTTGCCAGAAGGGTTCACTTATATCAGGATCAGGTCCCAGGGAAGGATGGGGATTCTGGAAGACTTAGATCTGCTGAAAATGCTCAGTTCCCCAGCAAGCCCATTTGGAACCCATCCATTTACTTTCAAGAAGGCACCCCCAGCAAAGCAAATGTCTCTCATGTACTATCATAATTCTTTGCAACATACTGAGGACAGCCAGGTCATAGTTCACTCAAGTCTGACCACAGTGCAATTCTCTAAACACAGTAGGGTGGGAGGACTTCACATTTTTCTCAAAGGGTAGGACTTTCTTTACGTAGCCTTATCTACTGTTTTGGAGCTAAAATCTTTTCCAGATGTTGAGATTATCCTGATACATTTACCATTCTTATTCTTCCAGTATTGAGGTCAGATTTGTTTTCATCAGCACAGATTTTTAACAAAAAAGCCCAGGAATGCAGTAATTTGCTCCATACTCATTAAAAGAAAAATAATAAGTCCACAGGAATATCCCTCTTTATATTTTTCTTATTGAAATGAATTCCCCAAGCACAGAAATAGCTAATACAGTAACTGTAGATTTTGAATTGTCTGCTAAGGACTCAGGCACTTCCTGTCCCTGAAAACTACTTCAAGCAAGAATACAAAATAGCCTCCAGCTTTGCAAAAGAAACAACAGAAACTTTTCCTGGGTTTGAGGTTCTTTGAACCCCTGAGACACTATGGAAATGAGTTTCTACTTAAAATATTATTACTTTAATATTAATATACTTGCTTCAGTCCAAGAGGGCTAGACAAGGCTTTCAGTTAGTAAGAATATCCCCCCCGCATGCGCGCGCACACACACACACACACACACACACACACACAATTTATCAATGTGACTCTTTTAGATTATAAGACTGTATTCTGTTACATATCTCATTTAAAATGTAATTCCCCAGGTCCCCACCATCAAAAGACCCAGCTTCAAGATTCTGATCCTTAGTTATATCTCCCACAAACGTTGCTCAGGAAAAGTGACTCTCCACCTTTTGGTGGGTCAGGAATCCTTTTAAAACTTTGATGGAAGCAATGAAATTAGAAATAATACTGCATACACATGAAAACCTTCACAAAACTTCAGGGATTTGCTGCACTAACTGCAGCCTTGCCACTGATCCTTGCCTTCAAATGCATCCTGGGGCTTGTGAAGAGATTTCTTTCCC